AGGTCACACAGTAAGTGGCAGACCAGGGTACCAGCTAAGGAAGTCTTGATTCAGTGCTGCTCCTAACCCCAATGTGATAGCTCTTCTGGCTGAAGGATGAAAGAACGGGATACCCCAACTTCCCAGGGCCAAATAACAGAAGATAGTTACAGATAAACTTCGCTGGGAGTCAAATCAAATCAAAATAAAAAACCTAAGACTTTTTAAAGCAGGTTAAGTTAGGCAGGGTGAATAATCATTCTACTGTTATAAAAAATCAATTAGAAAAGAATACAAACTTTAACAAAAGTTTGAAACAAACTTTACTTGACAGCAACCTTCCTAACATATTTAACGAGTCAATTTACAAGAAAGAGCTAACACCTTATTAGGAGATCAATGGTTAATTGATTCTGGAGCTCCTTTTATCACAAATACGAACAGAAATATTAAGGAGACAAGACAGCAAGGCCGGCGCAGTAGACTGTGAGAGGAATGAGTTGCACCTCTCTATACTGACATGGTGGGTAGGCACCTCTTGCTTTTGTTCTGCATTTGGGATGTGACTTGCTTTGGCCATGGGACATCAACACACATGATACAAGCAGGACTTCAAAAATGGTTTGTTAACACCCCATGGGGCTTGTGCTCTTGGAACACTCCTCCCTTGTGCCGTGGTTTATGCTACACTGTCAGAGACACATAGTGCAGACAACCAGCACCCACCTCCAGATACAAATGAGGCCATCTTAGACCACACAGCCCCCATGCAGCCTCTAACTGTGGTTCCATGAGTGGGCCAAGTCAATGCCACTTCCAGAACCTTCCAGCTGAGCTCTCGCCAAACAGCTGATCCAACAGCTGAACTGAAGAGAAATAAAATAAACCACAAAGTCTTTCAGTGTGCTATTATGCAGCCAAAGACAGACAGAGCCCACATATAAGGAATTTCATTGGGTAGTAATAGCAATATTACTATTAAATAGTATCTATAATATTGCTATTTAAGTAATATTACTATTATAGCAATAAGCCCAGTAATCATAAGAGGCTGGGTCACTTACAGTGTTAGCTAAGAGAGTCAGGTGACTAGAAAGGTACAATCAGAAGTGTTAACTTGAAGCTGGGGGCAGATATTTGACCTAGGAGTGAATGTGCACTTTGGGGCTGACATTGTGGTGCAGAGGGTTAAGGCCACAGCCTGCAGAGCTGGCATCCCACATGGGCACCGGTTTGAGTCCTGGCTGCTCCCCTTCCAGTCTAGCTCCCTGCTATTGCTGCCATTTTGGGGAAGCAGTACAGCAGATGGAACAGCTCTCTTTCTGTCTCTCCTCCTCTCTCTGTAACTCTGCCTTTCAAACAGATAAAGTGTTTTTGAGTTTAAAATAGAAAAAAAAAAAAAAGACATACTTCACATCAGTGCCTGGATTTGATTCCTACCTCTGAAACCTGACTGGAGCTTCCAGCCGAAGTAGACCCCTGGCGGCACCTGTGACGGCTGAAGCAGTTGAATTCCTGAGACATACAAAGGAGACCTGGATGAATTCAGCCTCAGCCTCGGCTTGTCCCCACCTGCTGCAGATATTCAGGGAGTGAACTAGCTATGTGAGGGTGCTCACTCTCTCTCTAAATTTAAAATGTTAACAAAAAGTGTTAGGTTGGGAGTATATTCTGTTGTGTCGCCTGCTTTTGCCTACCTTCCATTCTATGACTTCTGGGTCAGGGAGATGGAGAAGCGGAACTTCATGGTCACACCAGTAGATCAGAGGAAAGAGGAAAGGAGTCACATTGCATCCTGAGAGTCAACTCTTGGCTTCCCTATCTACTGGTAATAAAGTGACAGAATCAGTCAGGTTCATAGCTACACAGTGCCCATTGCTTCAGCCTCACCAGGCCAGTATCATTACTTCCTTAGCATTATTACTGCAATAGGATAAGGTGTGGCAGAGTACGTCACCAAAGACAAAATTTCTCAGCACTCTGTAACCAAGAGGTTCACTATATACTGTTGACAACAACATTGTGACCAAAGCCATCATCTAGTCCAACTTATTAGGGGACAAATGGGACTCATCCAAAGCAACACATCCCTGGAGGACGAAGCTGATCCATGAATCCAAGTCCCTAGGCTCTCATATTCTGAAGTGACTGGGACACAGGATACCAGCATTGAAGCCCAGAGGAGGAACCAGGTCACCCAAATTCTAGCTTAATAACCCTTTTGTCCTCAACTGCTTTACAAACATTGCCCAATCTTAGAAGTCCTAGGATACACCTATCTAATCACTGGGAAATATGGTTGACCAGAGGACAGAAGGTGAAAAAAATACAACAAAATTTCATCATGACAAGGACTATGAATTTACCTGTTGCTGTTTCCCCTTCATTTCTATCGAAGTGCCTGTCAACACTGGCCACAAGAAGCACTTTTGTTATGGGCTGAATGTTTTTGTTGTTCCAGAATTCTTATGTTGAAATTCCAATTCCAGATGCTGTGGTCTGCACAGAACTGGGCCCTTGGAAAGTAAGTAATGAGGTCATACAAGTAGAGCCCATGTGACAGGATTTAGTGTCACTGTGAGGAGAGATGTGAGAGCTTCTTACTGTCTGTTTTTCCAGGTCTGTCTCCCAAACGCCTGCCATGTTGGGACACAGCAAGAAGGTGTCCTCACCAGGCACCCAGGCATGGAGCAGGGGTTCTGGCGCGGGGGTTAAGCTTTGCTCGGGACACCTTCACCCCATACTGGAAGTGCTGGTTCAAGTCCTGGCTGCTTTGCTTCTGATCCAGCTTCCTGCAAATGTATCCTGGGATGCGGGAGATGATACTTCAAGTGCTTGGGCTCCTGCCATCCATGTGGAAGGCACAGCAGGAGTTCCTAGCTCCTGGGTTTGGCCTGGCCCAGCCCTGGCTACTGCAAGCATTTGGGGAAGAACCAGAGGGTGGGCAATATCTCCCCTCTGGCTGGCTGGCTGGCTCTTTTTCTGTCACTCTGCCTTTCAAGAAGATGAAAGTAAATAAATGAATATTTTAAAAAAAGAATCCAATCATAAGGGCACCCAGGTCTCAGAACTCCAGCTGCAAGACTGTGAGAAAGGTCTACTTCTTGAGCCAGTCAGCCTACAGTATTCAGTTACAGCAGCAAGATACTTTAAATAATATTAATTTGTGGTTTGAAGTATTAACAGTAGCTCACAAATGATTTTCCTGATGAGTTTAATGTTCATGTGTGTCTATAATTTAAACTTAAAATGCATATTTGCTTTTATTTTATGATTTAGGGGCAACTATTTTCTTTTTTTAAGGTTGACTTCATTTATTTGAAAGGCGGAGTTAGAGAGAGAGAGAGAGGGAAAGCAACCTTCCATCTGCTTGTTCATTCCTCCAAATGGCTGCAACAGCTGGAGCTTGGCCAGGCTGAAACCTGGAGCATGTAACTCCATTTGGGTCTCCCATGAAGGTAGCAGAGGCCCAAGCACGTGGGCCACCTTCTGCTGCTTTCTCAGGAGCATTAGAAGGGAGCTGGATCAGAAGTGGAGCAACCTTGAATGATGCTGGCATCACAGGCAGCAGCTTAACTCAGTGTGCCACAATGCCAGCCCCTTCTATTTCTAACTTACTGTACAAATTTAACTATTGCAAGTTTCCAATATTCAACTGATAAAATAAAGCAGTGGCAACTCTTTGGTGAATTCGTTAGGATGCCACTTGGGTCTCCTGTATGCCATATCAAAGTGCCTGGGTCTGAGTTCCAACCCTACACCCCAGGAGGCAGCAAACAGTGGAGTCCCTGCCACCTGAACAGGAGACCCAGAGTGAGTTCCCATCTCCTAGCTTCAGACTAGTCTGGCTTCAGCATTTGTGGGCATCTTAAGAGTCTAACGGGGGGCAGAAGATCTCTCTCCCTGTCTTTCTGACACACACAAAAAAATTAAAGTAAATTTTTAAAAAAGTAAAACAAAGTGGTTAGGCTTCAAGTCCTAAGCAACACATTACAATGGAAAGTTAAGACCGAGATGGGGGCCCAGCACCTTGTTAAGTAAGGCCTATGGGCCTACATCTCATCTCTTTCTACTTCTAGATAAATGAAGCAACCTTACCTTTCTCACAGGGCTTGGCACAAACTATCAAAAAAATCCCTAAAAATATAATATACCTAAAGCACCCAGCCCCGGGGCCTGGTCCCCAGGACTGTGCGCACTCATTCATCCACCCCACAAGTACCGAGGAAATCCGCACCCAGGGTCAGGCGTTACTCTATGCGTGAAGCGCAGAGGCGCTGAGGGGACCCATCACCGTCCGAGCTCGGGATCCTGGCTCACCCCAGCAATGTCGCGGAGCCCTGGGCCTCACAGGGCAGGCGCCGCGCCCCGCTGCTATTCTCACTCTCAGTCCCTAGCAGTGGGCCTGACGGCTGACCCGCCGGGGCTGTCCCAGGCCTTGGTCACTACCAGCCACAAGGGGACACCCCGCCTCCCCGGACAGGGCGGCCGCGGGCGGAGGCGCGCAGCTCTCTCCCGGCCGGCCCTTGCCCTCCGTCCTCTCGCGGCCAGCGCCCCGCGCGCTCGCCCAGGCCTGCACCCGCGCGTTCCAGAACCCTCGGAGGAGGCCGTTCCCGGAGCGGCGCTGCCCTCTGCTTCCCACCAGAGGTCGCCCTGCCACGCGAGCCCAAGCAAGCCGAGGCGGCCTCGCCGCCCGCCCCCGCAGCGCTGACATTATTTTCTTTCTCTATTTTTATCTATTAAAAAGATTTCTTCACAGCCATAACTTAGATCTCCGCACTAAAACGGGGCAACAGGAAGATATAATGGTGCATTTCATTTATGAATGACCTGTAATAAATTACTCTGAAGTGTCCCGAGTGCCAGCAGACAGACTGCTTTGTCTGCCCGCGGACCCTGTGTCGCACGCTCCCGCGGGGAGGACACGGGAGCCCCCTGCGAGGTTCCGCAGGTATCGGCGGGGGCCGGGGCGGGCGAGGGTCCCCGCGGGCCCCGGCGGCGGGGAGCGGCGGGCAAAGGATATTCGGTTCTTGTTGAGGGTTAAGGTGTGGAGCCGCGGTAACCCTGGCAACACGAGGTCGTCCCCGAGCAGGTTGTTGTCCAAGATGAGCTCCTCCAGGCTCCCGAAGGCGCTCAGTCCTCCCAGTGACCTGCGGTGACAAAGGCAACAGGAAAAATGATCCCGCACTAAATCAGGGAGGCCATTATGAGCCGAAATAAATATTTTAACCTTCCCTTTCAGGACTGGGAATAGTCTGGGCTTGGTGCCTGTCAGCAAAGTGAATGACAAGAATTAGGAGCGGGAGCCGGGGCGGGGGCGGCGGGGGAGAAGGGGCCGCTGGCACCCTCGGCATCCTTCACGCCTTGCCGACATGAAGGATGAGGGTCACTTAGTGAGTAGCCAGGATCCAAAACAAAGGGCTTCAGATACGGCCTGCAGGATAAATTTGTCAATGTCTTGTGCCTTCAGGCACCCAGCCTGGGCTGACCCTAACCTCCATTCCCAAGATAAATAACTCTGTCACCATTCACCTTCATTCCCTGGACACAAATTTAAGTTGTCATCCATCATTTCTGCCCAGAAATATCATACCCCTCTTACAATAATAAATATAACTTCAAGTATCATTTCTTAGCGGTTCTCCCCTGCACACGCGGAGGGGAAACGAACTGGCCGCCTCCCCCAACCCTCCCTCCCTCCCTCTCCTTTCACATCCTCTGACTCTCTCTCCTCCCCCTCTCTCTGCCTTTTTTCTTTACTAATCACTTAATTTGCTTCTACCCAGTTTCCCCGTGGCTGCCCCAAAAGGCAAGGCAGCTGTGGAATTACATAATCAGTCTGAGAACGCTTTGCCTCTCTTGATTTTTATTTGTTTTTTTGTTTAGGGGCGAGGGAGGGAGGTCTGGTGGGCTGGGGTGTTTGGGGGTGTTGGGTCTTCAAAGCTCCTGGCTTGAAGTTTCGTTTTAATTTATGGAAAGTGGATTTCTCACTTTATTTTTTGAAAAAAAAAAAAAAAGTGTTGACTGCAGCAGAAGAGATGTTGAGCCGGTAAATAAAAAGGCATCTGAAAGGATTAAGTCCCCAGCTCAGGGGGCAAAAAATATGTATGTATTAGAAAGGAAGAAAATAGCGTTGTTTATGCATGGAGCTGAAAGTGAACTCTTAATTTTATGGGCTCTCCGGGGTGTTGCGGCGACTGGGCAGTGGTGCACAAGTGCCTGCGCGGGTGCACACAGACGTTAATTAAAGCCAGGCGCCAGGTCGAGGCACTTGCGCAGAGACACAGACTCCCAGCTCCTGCACCTGCCAGACCCAAGAGATGTGCTGAGCTTGCACAGGCTGACAGCTGAGCTACGGTGCCGACCGGAGGGAGGACTTGCCCGGGATCCCTATAAAATGTGACGAATCAGGGAGAGTCGGCCACGCTATTTATCCATTTATGGACAGCGCTTGTGTTCCAGCGCCATGTGCTCATGGCGCAGGGTGTGCACATCTAGCGTGAGTGTGAGCCCTAGGGCCAGAGCTTCCACAAGGCACCCGCAGCTCCCTTGTGGGACCTCTGCCATGGGAGCTCCAAAATATGGAGTTGATTCTCCAAGCTGTAAAATGCATTGCAAGTAATCAAATCCACAGATTCCACTGGGCCGAGGGTTCCTCCGCCTGCACAACCCATTACAGCCAGACCTCAGGTGGCCCCACCCGTGCCCCGATACCCAGAACAGCCCTGCTCCCACAGCCAGTGCTGCCTGCCCCAGTGCAGGAGGACAAGGCAACCCCATTTGCCACTGAGAGTCTTGGGCTCCTCATATTGCATTTCCTCCCCGTCCCCCCCCCCCTTCTTCTCAGTTCTGGAAGGCAAATCACAACTTGCACATACCTGGGCAGCAAGGTTTGGGCCTTCACCCCAGCCCCACCACTTCTGTGGAGTCTGAACTTAAGCCTTTCAAAAACCGATCTGAACTGATTTGTTCTGTGCTGCTTCCTGTTCACAGGGCCTCATGGAGAATAAATAAAAGCATGAACAAGCGACTAGTAAATGCTGGTTCCTTTGTTGTCCTTCGACCTTTGATTCAGTGACTTTTCCTGAGACCCTGACCTTGAGGGAGGGCTTAGTGGGTGGGCAGAGGAACAAACTTTTTTTGCAGGGTCTTCAAACAGTTCATGGAAAACCCATGATGTGCAAAACCTACTCATGCACTGTTTTTTTGTTTGTTTGTTTGTTTTGTTTTTGCACCAAAAAACTGCTCTTTGAGTTCCATGAAGGCTGTCAAGTTCTCTCTTACAGAGGTGTGTGGAGAATCTTCAGACTCTTTGAAGTCACTTCCTCCATGGGGGTCACAAGAGGAGCTGAGGCCACCTCCCAACAGGGAACCCTATAGGGCGGCTAATAGGTCCTTTGTGCACAACATCAGTGGGGCTCTGGTCAAAGGCAACATCCAAACATCATTGTTCCCAGTGATGTTATGCAAATATTACACTCTTATCCTGAGAACCAGCAAATGGTAGGCAAACAGAAGAAAGGTCCCTCCCAAGAGTGTTTCAGGGGAGGCAGAAAACAGGATGACACAGCGTGGTGTGGGACAAAATCCCAAACAGGAGGCAGTGCCTACTACCCGTGGAGAGGTGACCCCCCCCCCCAAACACACACCCGGGAATGAGCACTGCCCAGCTCCACACAGAGCAAAACCTCAGAGAAGAGTGGGAAGATGTGCCCCAACCCCTCTGTCACCTGTCTGCTTTCAATATTCCTTTCTCCGTGCAAGGGAACCACGTTAACTCAGCAGCTGCTAATTCATACATCCCTGTTGTCATGTCAGCAATGTGATGTAGACTTGGTGATTTAATCAGATAGATTCAGAGGTGAGGAACTGGGGCCAGGAGGCAGAGAGCAGCGGAGGCAAGGGGCAGAATTTGTAGGAATCGGCTGGAGTAGGGGACAAGAAATAGACCAGGAAGATGGCTTTACTGTTTATTTCCTAAAAGCATTACTGTTACTGTTGTTATTGAGGTCCAGGAAGGAGTAGGAAAAAGAAATAATTCATGTCAATCTTCGAGTTCACACCCTACATGAGAATACCAGCTACCTGCAAATAGATCCCTGCTCTTCAGTGAAATAACAGGGCGAAAGCCTCATAAGATCCACTCAGACCTATGTGGTTTAAGGAGATGGCAATGGTGGTGACAGGAAAAACATCACGAGACTGCAAGGTCTGCTATAACCTGGTGTGTAGACAGCAAACTGCACCCTAAGAGGAGAACCCCGGCAAAGGGCTAACAGTTACCCTGGCGTCACTCACCAGCTCCCTTGGCAGGGACTGCAATGTTAGAAGCCAGAGGACAGAGCTTCACCCATGACCTGGGTACAGCCAGCTTCACAGAGATCCTCGTGCCTGGGCTGGCTGGAAGAACAGGCTTGGGAAATGCGACCGGCTCCTGGGCAGCTCTCTGCAGGCTGCCTGCCTCCTGCCTCCCCATCAGGAAGGCGGCCCTGATCTCACCCCCAGATACCAGCTCAGCCACCTTGGTCACAAGGCTGGGCCTGGGCTCCCCCAGGAGTGGCTGCGGCTGCAGGGAGAGTCCCAGTGCCTTCTCCAAAGTCACATCAAAATGACAAAACATCACAACACATTGGGCTCCAGTGGATTCAAACAGAGAGAACTTTTAAGTTTCCACTGTAATTAACCCTATCCTCGTTAAGATAATTATGATCAAGCTTCCTGTCACAGTTAATATCCCGGCATCATCGCCTGTGGCTCACACTCTGCCCTCATTAGCTTATAAAAACAGCGGCACTAAACAGGCAGCGGCTGCCTTGCCCGGGCTAGAGGGGGCTCTTGGGCAGGGCAGCGGGCCCTACAAAGGGCTGCCCCTGGGAATCCAATCCCTTCTGCTCCTGGATGGGCACAAACTCAGCCATCTTTATCCTTTCCCTGAAAATGGCCACTAACCAAAAAGGGAAGTAGTAGGACCATGAGGCAGGGCTGGTGGGCTAGGAGCACAGAAATTTCTGTATAGCAACCCCTCCTGGCCCCTTACCCAGCAAAAGACCAGTCTGCACATTTTGCCATAAAACCCACCACGCAACACTTGCAGAGCCCTGCTCCAACCCCGAGGAGACAAGCTGGGCTAGGAGTGAAACGTCTCCTCCTTCGGCTCCCACACAACCCCAGGGTGAGGGCGTGGCACCAGATGGGCAGAGGGCCACAGGGATGGTTCCCCACAGACCTCATGGCTGACATGTGCAGCCACGTGAGGCCTCAAATACAGTACCAGAAGTTGGGATGTTTGCAAACCAAACAAGCAAACATGATATTCACTAAGATTTTACCTAATTCCTCAACTACTTCTACCCAGACATCCTGATCCACATTTTCAAATGAGAAAACAGAAAGGCCGTGGAAACCCTAAAGGGCCTAACCTGTGCCACTCACATCGGTCACAGTGGGCACACCTGCAAGGGCGGCCCGAGTGAGTGCTCTTTTATTTACTCTCCAAGAGGGCCCTTTGAGCAGGAAGGAACACAGAGGTGAGTTCAGATCGGTTTTTGAAAGGCTCAAGTTCAGACTCCACGGAAGTGGTGGGGCTGCCTAGGTATGTGCAAGTTGTGATTTGCCTTCCAGAACCGAGAATAAAGAGAGGAGGAGGAGGAGGAGGAGGAGGGGGAGGAGGAAATGCAACACAACAAGTCCCAGACCCTCAGTGGCAAATGGGGCCGCCTTGGCCTGCACTGGGGCAGGCAGCGCTGGCTGTGGGAGCAGAGCTGTGCTGGGTGTTGGGGCATGGGTGGGGCCATCTGAGGTTTGGCAGGAATGGGACATGCAGGTGAGGGAACCCTAGCCAAGTGGAATCTTTGGATTTGATTACTTACAATGCATTTTACACCTCGTGAGGATCTACTCCCTGCTTTGGTACCCCCCATGGCAGAGGTCCCACAGGGGACTCTGAGCGATCTGCCTGCTCTGCCTTCCAACAAATGTGAGTTTCAGAACAGCCTTGACAGGCCAAGAAGGCTGCCAGACACACACGGAGGGCTCAGCACCTCCTTGGAAACCAACCACTCTCTAGCCATGAGCCTGGCAGTGGAAAACCAGCCAAGAGACTCCCAAGGGCAGGACAGAGAGTGGACTCAGGGCACCAGCCAAGGGCTAG